AACTTCCGGTTTTCTATTGTTTTTTTTTCTTCATTGTCATTTCAATTTTGATATTTGTATATATAAAAAAAAAAAAAAACCATTTTAAAATTTTTGTTATGAAAATTCAATGGCTGAAGGAAATAACAAAAAAAAAAAAAAATTTTCTTTCTTTTATCGTCTTCAAATTTCAATTTTTTCTCTCCATAGCAAAATAAAATAGATCAATAACTAGAAAAAAAAAAGGAAAAAAGAAAACTACAGATGTTATCCAGGTGCAGTTTTCCTTTTTTTTCCTTTTTTCAATTAAATTTTAATTTAAGTTAAAAAAAAAAAAAAAAAAAAAACATTTTTCAATTATATAAATAATATTATTAGAATCGATTGTTGTTGTATGTTGTTTAGTTAAAAAATCCCCGAGTTTAAACAATAATAATAAAATAAATTACGATTCTACTACCACGATAATTATTTTTTTTAATTATTATTTTCCAAATAGAAAAAAACAGGTGTTTAAAAAAAAATTTTTTTTTCAACCGTAAATTTTCGGTTTTAACTAATACTATCGAAACCTTTTTATTATTATTATTATTATCATTTTAATTAACACGTAATTTTATTATCACTGATAGGTTTTCGTTGATGTTATACGTGCGCGGAACGTATTGTTGTGATAACAGAAAAAAAAAAATTTCCAAAAAGATTTTTTGAGTCTTGTAAATTTTCCGAGAAAATTCAAATTCCCCCCCCCTTCCCCCCCCCGCAAAAAAAAAACAAAAAAGAAAAAATTGATTTTTTGAATATCACGGTCCGTTTGTTCCAATTTTTTTTTTTTTTTTTTTTTTTGCGTCCGTTTGTTTGTTTTGTTTGCTTGTTTGTTTCCAAAGGGCATTTTCAGAAAATTTATAAATTCGAAAAACGTAACGATATTCGATAGGATAGTAGTAGTAATAATAATAATAATAATAATAATAATAATAATAATAATACCGTAAAGATTTTCTCTCTGACGAGGATGTGAGGTGGTAGGTGGCACGGGGGGCGGGAACAGGGGAGACAGGGAGAGAGAGAGAGTGGAAAAACAAAAGGAATCGTATAAAAAAATACATATATATATATTATTCAACTTTGTTTTCTAACATAATGATCGTATAAAATAAAATGATCGAAAAGTGTTGTAAATATTCTTTCTCTAAAACTGCTTTGTCCAGGACTTGATAATGACGGATCCACGTGTACAATTTTTCTATCGTTTTTATGTTGAAATAATAAACCTTTAACAGGATCGAATATCACCTGTAGATATAAATAAATAAATCAAATCAAATTTTTTTTTTTTTTTTTTACAACAAATAACATTTTGATCGATACAGCCAACAACTGAAAAAAAAAAAAAAACGTGGCAATAATAATAATAATAATAATAATAATAATAAACGACTAAAATGATGGGGCGGGGAGGAAATAAAAATTTTTATTAATAATAATTTACTCGTATTGAAATGTTTGTAAGGATGTAATAACCTTTGAACTCGTTTTCGTACGAAAATTTTTAAATAAAAATTTGTTTTCTTATTTTTCTAAAAAAAAAATATTTTATATATTTATAATTTTTATATATAAAAAAAAATAAATAAATAAGTAAATAAATTGCGTTCGTTTCGGTTTTTTTTTTTCAATTTATATAAATTAAATTTTTCGTTTAGGGAGGGAAGGGAAGGAAGGGAGGGTTAGGGGACAAATTTCAATTTTTTTTTCTTTTTTAATAAAGTAAATAAACGGTAAAAATTTTTCCCCTCCCCTCCCCTCTCCCCCTCCCCGCCTTTCTGCTCCAAAAAATTTTTATTTTGGAATTCAAATTTTATGGTTCATTAAAAAAATAAATGTAAAATAAATATTTTTATGTTTATTTGAAAAAAAAAAAACCTCAAATAAAAAATTACTATTATTATTATTATTATTATTATTATTATACGTATATTTAAAGTAATTATACTTATGTTAAAATTAATTAATAATAATAATAATAATAGAAATTTTTATTACAAAACCAAAATATTAACATTAAAAGTTCTTGTATGTGTATATAAAAACGCATCTTATTATTTGTTTATTTCAAAAGAATTTAGAATTTCATTTATATAGTTAATGACGTAATAAAATATAAAAAAAACAAGTAAAATTAATGACGTCATACAATAATGATGATAAAAAAAAAAAAATTATGCGAAACGTTTGATGAAATTTTGTTATTTTCTCTTGTAATATTTTATCAAAACTAAAATAAAATAAATTTTTTTTTTTTTCCTCCCGTATTTATTTATTTTACTGGAAAAATGTATGTAGTTTTATGTGTTTGGTTGTGGGGGGTAGTTTGGGGGGGGGGTGAAGGGTTGAGCATTTGCGATGATGATTCGATACGGTGGAAAATTACATTACAATCAGTTTGAAAAAAAATGTTGATGTTTGTTGCATAAATTTTTTTTTTGTTCCATGTTTTTATTTTTTTGCCCAGAAGGAATAAAAAGAGGAGGAGGACGGGGAGGGGGTGGGAAAAAAAAAGATAAAACTGGAAATTTTCGCATAAATAAACCGTCGAATTTTTTTTTTTCTTTTTCTTTTTCTTCTGCTTCTTTTTCTTCTCCTTTTCCTAAGCCTGACTTTATTTTGAAGATTTTGAGAAAGCGATCTTTTATGCTTCCGTAATGTAATATAATAAGCCCCATATTTTGTTTAAAAAAAAACCAAAATTCTTTTTATATACACAAAGCGAATATTTATTTATTTTATAAATATATATATTTTGAGTGAGAGAGAGAGAGAGAGAGGGAAAGGAAGGATTTAAAATTCGGACGAAATAATAATAATAATAATAATAATATGATTTTTTTCATGCGGTTTAAAAATATTTCCGATACGATAATTTTTACCGTCTGCGACGAAAAAGACAGCAAAAGAAAATTTTTTTTTCTATCCTATATCGGTTTTCAATGATATCATTGATAATACAATTAACAGTAATAATAATAATAATAATAATAATAATAATAATAATAATAATAACGGTTTTTTTATATTGTTTAAATTTCGTTACGTTTATTTTCATAATTTTATTTTATTTCAAGTTTGTTTTCTTTCGTCGGAAAATTCTTTTTTTTTTTTTGTTTGAATTTTTTAAACGAAATTTTATCGAGAAAGTGATTTCCATAGATAAAGAAAATGGCGATTATTATCATTATTATAGATAATGAAAATTTAAATGAAAATAAATGGACAGTGGGGAGGTGGGAAAACCCGGAGGTTCGTTGCAACAAACGTAAATATTTATTTTGTCATTATCATCATTATTTCGGTTGTGGAAAAAGTTAAAAAAAAAATGAATAATGGGAAACCCAAAGTTTTTTTTTTTTCGAAATCGTAACGTTTGATTAAAAGTAAAAAAAATGTTGTGGAAATTTTTTTTTTTCTCCAGCGAATTAAATAAATGGAGAATGAGTTTTAACGTTTCTGTGTGTGTTACGAACAGTAATAAGTGATTTAGGTCGGTTTAGATAATTGAAAATAAAGGTAAAAACAAAAACAAAAGCAAAAAGTTTAAGAGGATAAATAAATAACGTAAAATAATATTTTTTTTTTTTTAACGTGTCAATAGAAAAAGAGTAATTGAAACAACTCGAGGGATTAACAAATATTAAAGTTAAAAATTATTTTAAAAAAAAAAATTATCAATTTACGGCATTAATATAAAAGAAAAAAAATTTTCTTTTTTTCTATTTTCACGTTACGTAATAATTTTCCTTTTTTTATTATTATTTAAATAAATTATTAGTAACTTTAAAAAGAAATTTTCTATAAAAAAAAAAAAAAAATTATATCATTTTTCAAAACGAGATGAACGTAAAAAAAAAAAAAATCTAATTAAAAAATTTTGTCGGAAAATAAATGTGTTTTCTCATCGCGGAAAAGCAAACGGAAAATTCCGATGATGGAGAAAATTTTTCCAAGTTAAAAAGAGAGAAAGGGAAAAAGGGAAAAAACAAAAAAAAAAGGAAAAGGAAAAGACAAGAGAATAAAATGGGAGGACAGGCGGCGAGAACAATAATAATAATAATAATAATAAATGTTTGAAATCCTTCTTTTGTCCCCCCTCCTCTTGCATTCCCCCTCCCCTTCTCTCTCCTGTATTCCTCCCCGTTTATGTAAACGTCATTAAAAAAAAAAAAAAAATGCGAATTAAAAATAATAAGTAAAAAAAAAAAAAAAAATTCATCATCATCATTATCATCATCATTACCATCATCATCATCATTATCATCATTATTTAATTAAACATTTATCGTATATTAAAAATCGATTTTTTTATTTTTTTTTTTGCGGTATCGATCTATTATCGATCGATAAATCGTGTGATCACATATAAAACGAATAAGGAAATTTAAAAAAAAAAAAAAAACAAATTATTATTATTATTATTATTAATAATTCACGTTAGAAAATGGAAAATGGAAAATTTATAGCACTATAATATAGTCTCTTTATAATTATAGACTATAAGTTTTTTTTTTTTTTTTAATAGACCTTTGTGTGCATAGAGAATAACAAAAAACAGAAAATATTCCACACATAATAAAAGTTTTTATTTAATAATATTAATAATAATAATAATTTAAAAGTCGGCGGTGATTCGATAACTTTTTCCTCATTAACGATATATCGAATTCTCAATAAAGTGAATAAAATAAAAACAAAAAGTTAATTAAATAAATAATAATAATAATAATAATAATAATTCTTTTTCATTTTATATGAAAATTCTAATCATCGTTATTTTTTTAAATTTTCTTTCGACTTTTTTTTTTTATTAATGTCGGGGGAGAAGGGAGGAGGAGGGGGGAAGGGGGGAAAAAAGGGAGAAACCGTTATTTAAGTGAACTTTTCTTTTTTCTTTTTTTTTGATAATATTTTTATTCTTTTTTATTACTATAACGTGATGATGTTTGGATAAAAATAAACTACCTAAACCTGACACGAAAAAAAAAATGTTATTACGAAACGTTTTTTTTTTTTTTTTTTTTAAATTCGTAATAATAATAATAATTATATAAATATTTTTAAATAAATGATTTATTATTATTATTATTGTTAATTGACTTACCCAATAATTAGGTGAATCGTTATAAATTGCTTTTTTAGCTCTCCAATTAAAAAAACTCAAATCCGTCATACGAAGTCTTAATTTTGCTTTTCCGAGAAAAAATGGCGTCCAATTTTCATTTAATAATCTATCGGCGTAATCTATGTAACCGGAAATTTCGTGTCCGTCTTTTGTTATGTATCTTATATAAATAATTGTCTGAAAAAAATTTAAATTTTATTTATTTTTTTTTGTACCGGATGTATGGAAAGTCGATCGATGATTATTTCCACGTGAAAATTTAACGGAAATTTTTTTTTTTTTTAAATTGCAATAGAAAAATAGAATAAGCAACAAAATATTGACAAATGTCTAATTTTATCTATTTTATAAAAAAAAAATAGATTTTTAAAAAATTTGATGGTGAAAATCGTAAAAAATAGAGAGAGAGAGAGAGAGAGAGAGAGAGAGAGAGAGAGAGAGAGAGAGAGAGAGAGAGAGAGAGAATAAGGGAAAACGACGCATTTATAAGATTTTTTTTTTTTCAATTTTTAGAATGAGAGAAAAACTTTTCCGACGTGTTTCCGGGTTATAATGTTGAACGTCGTGTGACTTCCGGCTATTTTTTTATTACCCCAAAAAAAAAAAAAATTATGATTCGGTTATGATGAGAAGGAAATAAAAAAAAGTTTTCGATAAGTTGATTCGTTCGAATATTTCAAATAAATTTAAGATGATAATGATAACTTACTGATAGCAAACCCGTTCTATTTCCGGATTCTCTATTGGCTAATTCGTTATACATAACATCGTGAAAATCTATACCGATGCTACTTAATTCGTAGGGTTTTTTGCTAGGGAAAACAGCCTCGGTAACATCTGCCAATTTCCGGTAAAATTCTTCTTTCGTTAACATGTCTCCAGAACATCTTTAACAAAAAATACGATTAATAATAATAATAATTAGGATTTTTTCGGGATAAAATTAAACGAAAAGACAATGATAATAATAATAATAATAATTACCTGTAACCCAATTCGGCAATTTTTCTTGCCGTCATGTAATTTTTAAAATAACAAACATCAACTTTGCTTACGAGAGAATCTAAATATTCATCGTAGGTACGAAATTGTAAAAGTCTTTTATCCGATTCTAAAACTTCTTTTTTCCTTTCCATTTTTTTAATTTTATGATTGTTAAAGTTTTATTAACTCATTCTTAATTAATAAATAAAATTTTAATTAATTAATTGATTCGATAAACAAAAAACAATTTTTTTTTTAAACATAATTTTCGTAATTTTTTTTATTTAAAAAAAATGTAAACAAAAACATTTACACGTGCGTGTAACGGCCATTTAAAGTCATAAATTAAATAAATGCGCGGGAAACTTTTTTTTTTTTATTTCCGTTTTTCCCTTACACGACACCATCGTTACCACCACCACCGATAACCCCTAGAAATCAAGACAATTTTCTTTAAATGACAAAAAAAAAAAAAAAAAATTTTTTTAAATAAATAAAATATAATGAAGAAGAAACACGCACTCACACACACACACACACGCACTTATCAAGATTTCCATAAGTTTTTTTTATTTCTATCTAACAAAATGTTTCCATCAACGAATTTTCTCTTGTTTATTAAATATTATACCATGTGTGTGTGTGTGTGTGTCTGTGTGCGTGTGTGCGTGTGTTTGTGCATGGCCGGAGGTCGTAGAAATTTCCCTTCATTTAAATAAATTTAACTTTTTTCCAAAAAAAAAGAAAAATTTTTTTTTTTTTTATCACATTATTCAGTTTTTTTTTTCCTCCCTTCCTTTTGAATACGTTTAAATTTCCATAACCGACAATCGAGCAATCGTTTTTTTTTTTTTTTTTTTTTTCTTTGACGTATTCAATGAAATTTTTTTTTTTAAAAACTCAAACCTTGCAAAAAGTTATTTTCCCATTTTGTATCCGACGCTATTAAAAATGAAAATTTTTTTTCTTTTTTTTTTTTTTTTTTATAGAATCCGATATGTTCGTACGGTATGTGTCTCGGAAGTGTCATGTTACAACATACAATGTTCAACAAACCGGTTCCAAGATCGAAAGATGAAGTTTTAACACATGCGAGAAATTTCATAGAACAATATTATAGTTCTATGAGAAGGTTTGTCTTGTTTTTATTTAATGAATTATTAACGGATAATTTTGACACTCGGTCAATTGTTTGTATGGGTGTGGATGTGCGTGAGCGAATGTGCGTGAAACCCATCAGCGAAACAAAACAAACTCCCACCCCTTCTTCCCCCCCATTGGATTCGACTCCATTCGATAATTTATGATTTGTTGTTGTTGTTGTTGTTTTTTTTTTCCACGTTTTGTAATCTTTTTATGCGTTTTATCAGTTTATCATTATTATCATTATTATTATTATTAATATTATTTTTTAATTTACGTCAAACGACAAAACAAAAGTATTAAATTTAGTTTTATTTATTTATCTTTTGTTTTTAAAAATTATAACATTTATTTTAAATAAACGCGACACTACCCGTTAATGTATAAAATTTTCCTTTTTTTCCCCCGTTAATGGGATTTCGAATCGGGGGGTGAGGAGGAAGGGAAAGAAAAAAATTCAAAGGAAATTTCATCAATATCCGATTTATAATTTAACAATTATTAAAATATTAATTTTTTGATACAAAAGTTGGATTTTTTTTTTTCGGAAAACTCTCTCAAAAAAAATGTTGTAATCGAATTAAATTCGGGGGAAAAAAATTTTTTTTTTAAAAAAGGAAAGGAGAAAAAGGACGTTTTTAATGAGATTTAATTATTATTATTATTATTATTATTTTTGTTTGTTGTTTGTCGATTTAGACTTAATAGTAAATCGCATAAAAATCGATGGGATCAAGTAGAAAAATCAATTAAGGAAACTGGAACATATCAATTAACGGAAACCGAACTCACGTTTGGAGCTAAATTGGCATGGAGAAATGCTCCGAGATGTATCGGTAGAATACAATGGTCTAAATTACAGGTACGAGTTTTTTTATTTTTTTTTTTGTGGGGAGGGTGTGGGGAGTGGGGAGGAGGACGAGAAGAAAAAAAGGAAAAAATTGACTTTTTAAATACGATTTTATAATCATTTTTTCCGATTTTTCCCCTCCATTTTTTTTTTTTTTTTGGGAAATTAATGATGTTGCTGCTGCCGCTTTTCCATAACGAACATTTTCCCTCCTCACCTGTATTTTTCTTTTTTTTTTAGGTTTTCGATTGCAGACAAGTAACGACAACAACGGGAATGTTCGAAGCCATTTGTAATCATCTTAAATATGGTATCAATAAGGGTAACATAAGGTAATTAAACTTTATAATTTTTCTCAATGATGATGATGATGATGATGATGATTTTCGTAAATTCAAAATAATAAATATTATCATTATCATTATTATTATTAATATTTTTTTCTTTTTTCCTCTCCATACAAAAGATTTGACGTTTAATAATAAATGTCCAAAGTAATCGATTTTAGATTTTGTATCATTTATCAGTTTATTTTTTTTTTCCTTTTCTTTACAACTATTCATCTCTTTTGATTGTATAATAGTTACTTGATTACCTTTTTTTTTTTGTAGAAAGTGTTAAAATGTCTTTTAGAAAATTTATACCGGGCTAAAAGACTAAAAAGAAAAAAAAAAGGTTAAAAGATACGAAATAAAAAAAAGAAAAAGAAAAATAATAATACTTTGAACGTTGGATTAAATTTTGGAAGGAAAAAAACATAATTTATAAAATAATGATTATTATCATTATTATTATTATTATTATTATTATTATTATTATTATTATTATTATTATTATTATTATTTAATTTATTTTAAAATGTTATGAAAAAATAATAATAATAAAACTCGTTACAATTGTTAATCGATACGTTTAAAAAAAAGAAAAAAAATGTAAAAACCATTTAAATAATTAAAACTTGATATTATTATTATTATTATGTTGTTAAGGTCAGCCATAACAATTTTCCCACAAAGAACTGATGGAAAACACGATTTTAAAATTTGGAACACTCAATTAATATCATATGCTGGATATAAAAATCCAGATGGTACAATTACCGGTGATCCACTTCATGTCGAATTTACCGAGGTTGGTTTACATAATAATAATAATTTATGAAATGTTATGAAAAGCTATAAATAAAGTTAACCTTTTTTTGGTTCAAGTTGTGTATGAAACTCGGTTGGAAAGGAAAAGGTACAAATTTTGATTTGTTACCATTAGTTTTACAATCGAATGGTCACGATCCAGATTATTTCGATTATCCGCCTGGTTTAGTCATGGAAGTTGATTTAGTTCATCCTCAGTAAGAATTACATAAATAAATAATTTATTTAAATTAAATTATTGGGAATTATTATAAACAAAACGGTTTATGTTTAGGTATGAATGGTTTGAAGAATTAGGATTAAAATGGTACGTTCTTCCAGCTGTGGCTTCGATGATGTTAGATTGCGGTGGTTTAGAATTTACCTGTGCACCTTTTAACGGTTGGTATATGGGTACCGAAATTGGATGTAGAGATTTATGCGATCCCAAAAGGTATAACATTTGTGAAAAAGTTGCTAAAAAAATGGGTTTAGATACAAGAACGAATTCGACTCTATGGAAAGATAAAGCAATGGTAGAAGTAAACCTTGCTGTCGTTTATAGTTTTCAGGTTCGAAAATTTTTTTTTTTTTAGAAAAAATATCATTATCAAAACGTATAAAAAATAATTTTCTTTTTCGAATAAATTAAAATAGAAGATGAATGTTACCGTTGTTGATCATCACACTGCTGCCGAATCATTTATGAAACATTATGAAAATGAGCAAAAATTAAGAAATGGCTGCCCATCCGATTGGATATGGATCGTTCCTCCTCTTTCGTCATCAATAACTCCCGTTTTTCATCAGGAACTTGCTTTGTATCATTTGAAACCTTCTTACGATTATCAAGTAATATAAAATCCTTTAAATTAAACCTTTTTTTTAATTTTCCGTTAATTACTTCCTTTTTTTTTTTTAATAGGAGCCTGCGTGGAAAACTCACGTTTGGGAAAAAGATCGTGATATTGGAAAAGTATCTAGAAAACCTAGGCGAAAATTTCATTTTAAACAATTGGCCAGGTAATATTATTATTATCGGTTAAAAAAAATTATCCTGATGAAAATATTTAATCTTTTTTTTTTAAATTATAATTTCAGAGCCGTTAAATTTACTTCTCGTCTTTTTGGAAAAGCTTTATCTAAAAGAATAAAAGCCACCATTTTGTATGCAACCGAAACTGGAAAATCTGAAACTTTTGCTAAAAGATTATTCGAATTATTCGGTCACGCATTTAACGCACAAGTAAAGTTTTTACATAAAATATATAATAATAATAATTTTTAAAACGATTATTATCATTATCATTATTATTATTAATATATTTTTTATTTATTTTCGTTTTTAGGTCCACAGAATGGACGCTTACGATATAAGTAATTTAGAACACGAAGCTCTCGTATTAGTAGTTACGTCTACTGCTGGAAATGGTGATCCACCAGAAAACGGATTGGTAATTAATTTATTATTATTATTATTATTATTATTATTATTATAACAAATAAATAAAAAAATTATTAATAAATAAATAAATTATTGTTTAGGAATTCGCTCAGAATTTATATAAAATGAAAATGGACGGATTGGGAATTGAAAGTAACGATGATGATGATGACGATGAAAAATTTAGGTAAAATTTTAAATTAATTAATTAATTTAATAATATAAAGTTATAATAATAATAATAATAATTTTGATCGTAGTTTGGCAAGTTCAAAAAGTTTTATAAAACTAAACAGTCAAGTAGAACCTAATCCTCCACAATTGGATAGATTAGATTCAATGAAAGGATCAATGTCGGATGTTATGGCGGAAGATACTTTTGGTCCTTTGGGTAATGTTAGGTAAAAAATTTTATCGAATATTAATTAAAGATGATTCGTTGAAATTTTTATTTATTTATTTAATAATTATTTATATAATTTTAGATTTGCAGTTTTTGCTCTCGGTTCTAGCGCTTATCCTAATTTTTGTGCTTTTGGAAAATATGTCGACAATCTGCTCATAGAATTAGGAGGTGAAAGACTTATGAAATTAACAACAGGTGATGAAATGTGTGCCCAAGAGCAAATATTTTCTAAATGGGCAAGAGATGTTTTTAACGTATGTTATTATATAAAACCTATTCGAAAAACCTTTTTTTGTTACACCCTAGAAAAAGGAATCATGAAAACCTTTTTTTTTTTTTTTTCTCTATACAATTAAGGGAGCTTGTGAAACTTTTTGCCTTGAAGGAGATTCATTGGTTGAAAATGCTGGAGTTTTTTCATCTGTTTCCCTTAAGGATAGTACCGTACGTTTTGTCGATTCTCCAAAGGATGCACTACAAACTGCCTTAGCTAATTGTTCCAACAGAAAAGTTATAACTTGTCAAATAATAAGGTCGGCCAACAAAAAAAAAATTTTTTTTTTATTATTTATTTAAATGAACAAGATTTAATCTTTTGTTTTGGAAATATTCAAATTGGAAATCGGTTACGGTTTTTTTTTTTGACTTCGATTGAATTATTTATAAGTAATCGAGATTCTTATAAATATTCACGAATTTATTTACATAAAATTTTATCGTCATCTTTTTTTTTTTTATAGAAGAGAAAATTTACACCAAGGGGGTGAAAATGGAACGACATTAAAAATAGATTTCAAAACGCCAAACATTAATTATGAACCGGGTGATCATGTTGGAGTTTTCCCATGCAATAAACCGGAAATTGTTAATGGAATATTGAATCATTTATCTGTATCAGATGTTAATAAATCGGTCCAATTGCAGCTTCTCAAAGAAAATCACACACCGAACGGTTGGTGGTAGATTAAATAAAAATTTAATTCAAATTTTTTTTTTTTCACCCCTTTCCACATGTGTCTGCTAATAATGATTATAAATTAAAAAATTTTTAGGTGTTTTTGAAAATTGGGAATCCCATGACAGATTACCAGCATGTTCCTTAAAAACATTATTTACAAGGTTTTTGGATATAACCACACCACCATCACCAAACCTTTTACAATATTTGGCTTCCGTTGCTAAAAATGAAACGGAAAAACAAAAACTACAAAAATTGGCAACCGTTTGTTTTTTTTTTTTTTTTTTTTTTGTATTTGAGTGAATAAAAAAAAAATTTACAAATTTAAATTTTTCATTTGTACAACGTGTTTTTTTTTTTAAAGGATTTATCTGCTTATGAAGATTGGAGGCATACAAAATATCCACATCTTTTGGAAGTTTTCGAAGAATTTCCATCGACTAAACCCAAACCGGCTCTACTTGTTGCCCATTTGAGTCCATTACAACCGAGATTTTATTCAATTTCTTCCTCGCCATTAGCACATCCTAAAGAAATACATTTGACAGTTGCTGTTGTTACTTATCGTACACAACGTAAGACCATAATAATAATAATAATTTTTTTTTAAATTTTCTTTCTTTTTATTTAAAAAAAAATTTTTTTAAATGTTTTCAGAGGGTTCGGGACCTTATCATTATGGAGTTTGTTCTAATTATTTAAATGATATTAAATTGGGTGAAGATGTTTATGTATTTATAAGAAGGTTTGTGTAAAAATTTGTTTGTTTCTGTTTTCATTTTCCCATTTTAAAATTTATTATTTAATTTTTTTAGTGCACCTGGATTTCATTTACCGAGTAATTTTGAAAAACCGTTAATATTAGTTGGACCGGGTACTGGTATTGCACCTTTCAGAGGATTTTGGCATCATAGACATGAACAACTAAAGGCTTTGAGAGAAGCTACAAACCTCGAAGGTAAACATTTGCTATATTTATTAATAATTAATTAGCAAGATTTATAAAATTATTTGGGTGATATAATGTTTTTTTCAAGTTAAATTTGCCTCTTTATGATAAATAATTAAAAAACTTTATTAGGTGTTAACGTACCAGGAATTTGGTTATTTTTCGGATGTAGAACGAGAACTTTAGATTTATATAAAGATGAAAAAGAAGAGATGACTAAAAAAGAAATTATAAGTAAAAAATTTTTAGCTTTATCAAGAGAATCTGATATTCCAAAGGTAAGGCAATTTTAAATTAAATGAATGGATTTTTCCGAATTGATTATCTCATTAAAAAAAAAAAAAAAAGAATTACGTAACTAATTGTTTTGAATTGTAACGGTTTTTTTCTGCTAAATGATATTTAAATTTGCAGACGTACGTTCAAAATCTCATGAGAAAAGAAAAGGGAGAAATATATCGAAAAATAGTCGAAGAAAAGGGTCATTTTTACGTATGCGGTGATTGTACTATGGCAGATAACGTTTATCAAGAATTGAAACAAATAATTCAAGAACTTGGAAAAAAAACAAAACAAGAAGTTGAAAGTTACATGCTATCAATGAGAGTACGTTAATTTTTTCTTCTTCCACGTTAATTATAAAATTTTATAAGTGATTTATTGTTGTAGGATGAAAACCGATATCATGAAGACATTTTTGGTATTACTTTGAGAACTGCAGAAGTTCAAAGTAGATCAAGGGAATCAGCAAGAATGAGAATGGAATCGAGTTCTTCATAAACCCCCTTATCATATTAATTTATATCCACAGATATTTATAAGAGATAAATTTTCCGACTAAATAAAATTACTGTTAAAAAGCTTAAACAGCTTTGTTTTGGCCATATGCCTATATTTTAAATGAAAGCATTATTTAAAAGTTAATTTTTTTAAAAAATAAGTACTTAATTTCTTTTCATGAGACTATTTGCACATAATTAAATTTTTAAACTCAACTAATAAATACTTATTCAAACAAACTTTTAATTACATATTTATACGAGAGAAATTGATTAATTGCGCAAATAATGGGTATTTAAATATCAATAACACATAAATTTAATTAATAATTTAAACATACATATTTTATTATATAAAAAATCCTGATTAAAAAACTAAAATGTCAACTCAATTTAGCTTTTTAAAGTTTTTCCCGATTTCAAAAAAAAAAAAAGAAGATATTAATAATTACTGCTGTATTTTAAAACGATTATTTAAGAAAAAAATTGCTTCTTCGACACTAATTTAATACTTCTTGTGTGTCACAAAAAAATTTTAAATAATTATTATTATTTAATTATGTAAAAAATAAAAAATTAAAGCACTAATTAAAAAAAAAAACAATTCAATACATTATTTTTTAATATGAAATTTTAATTCTTATTCGATATTTTTTATATTATAAACTTTATGGTAGTTATGTATTAATTTAAATATTTTATAAATATTTGAAACTTTTTAAAAAAAAAAAATTTTAACTTGATGAATTTTTAATATTATAATTATAAAATCAATTTTAATTATTGAATGTTTATTTACTATTTATATTATATATATATATATATATATATATATATATATATATATATATATATATATAATTTTTTTTCTTAATTTTAAGTCTTCTAATTAAATAATATAATAATAAAGATAATAAATAAATAAAATACATATAATAAATTAATCTTTATAAAAATTATTTTCATAAAAGGTACATTATTTTTTTTTTTTTTTTATTAATTCATTGAAAATAAAAAAAGAACAAAAATAGTTACCAAAATTTAATTATTTTTTTAGTTATTTAATTTAAATATATACTAAAAAAGGTTAGTATAAAAAATAAAGTCGAAATAACATAATAATATTTAAAAGAATAATTAAAAAATAATTACTTGTTTGAGTCCAAAAAATTTGATAAAATTTAAATTATTGAAGTATTAATAAACTGGCGACAATTTTTGTCGAACATTTTTTGTCGGAAATTTAACACGAGCTAAACCGATCTATGTCAAATTACTTAGTTTACTTCCGAGAATGGTAAATCATACCATGTATTCAGATGAAGATGATAGTCAGGAAGATCAATTTATTAATTACAAACAAAAATATAGAGCGTTGAAAAAAAATCTTCGCTACTTAATTTATGAAAATGAATGTTTTCAAGATGAATTAAGAAAAGCACAGTATAATTTTGTTAGTATTAGTAGGGATAAAAGTTTTCTTTTAGATAGAATTTTAAAATATGAAAAACCTCAAGGGCCTAGTAGTGATAGCGAAGCCACTGAATCCTCTGATGAAGATGACGATGCAAGTGAGTTTTTGTTACAATATTCAACATAAGATTTAATTGAATTGTGTTTTATTATGTTAAATATCAATAAATGATAGAAAACTATTTCAGCCAAAACTAATTTTTTTTTTTGTTTTATACAGAAGTAGCTTCTTCATCGAATAATTTCTTTTCACAAAAGAAAAAAATCACAAAAAGAAAAAGACCTGAAACAGAAATTCACAATGGGAATGTGAGTGTGCCTTCTGAAGTTGTACACAATCATCCTAAACCTAATCCATTAAAACCAGTTTTCAATAAACCTTTGGGTAATAAAAATAATGTTTTAATTAAAAAGGCTAAAAAATCTCCTGTTCCTCGAAAACCTCCTGTTAAAAAAGAAAAAGAAATTCCCAAACTTATTAGTGATAAACCCTTAATGAGTCCTCAATCTGTAAAACCTTATGATATAAACAATGTACAAATCGCCAATGAAGAGCAAGGTAAGTTAATATTTATTATATTTTGTAAAACTTTTATTTTGATTTGGAATTTAATGAATATTTCTTTTAAATTATTTTATTATTTAAACCAAAAATTTTACTCATAATCGATTGGATTTGAATGTGATATGAACATCATTTGTTTTATCATTTAGTTGATACTAGTGAACAAGACCTATCGAATAATATGTCGAGAGTAGAATTTGAGTTTTCCTCGATGACTGGTAGTGAAGGACATTTAACAAGAGAAGAAGTTGAAAGACATTTAGAATCTAGAAGGTTCAGTCCAGAATTAAACACGACAGCAACTGTGCCAGCAGAATTATTTAGTCATGAAGCAGATCCAGAAAGTGATTTCGAAGATGGGGAAATATGTGAATTTATTCAACTTGAAGAAGATTGTACAAGTGCTGATGTAATTTTAGAATAAAATGGACTGTACTCATTTTTCTTTAAATAATTTATTGTATAATTAAATTTGATAATATTATTTTTAACATCATTTTTTACTACTGAATTTAAGAAACTTATTATTTCCAGTGCATTTAATCATTAAATTGGATATCCCATAAATTAATGGTTATCAGTAAATTTCTCAGAGTATTTGTTAAAACAGAAAATTTTTGTGAAAAGAGCCTTTAATTTTGACAAGTGCTATTATTGTGTTCAGTTTTCGAAAAGTTAAAAATTTCTTTTTTTTTTTTCATTCGAATGAAATACATTGATTTACTTTATTGTATATTGCAAATGTGTAGTGTACAAAGTTTTTTCGTACTGCAGCTGTATTAATGAAAATTTGTAAAATTTTTATTTTATCTTATTTATTAAAATTTAAAATAAAAAAAATTATCTTATGTTATCTTTAAACTATTATTTTTACAAAAACCTACTTATTAATTTTATTTTTTGTTTAACTAATTTACTTCTTTCTCACATAACTTTTTTTTCCCCCAAAATTTATTGAAAAAAATGGTAATTTAGAAGAATATTTTTTAAAAACATGTAAAATTTAATAAAAAAAAAAAAAAAATGAGTCATAAAATATTCAAATAAGTTTTTAAATCATTAATTCATAAGTATTTTTGAGAACATTAGTTATGGATTAAGACGCAAATAATATTCCTTTTTTAAAATAGTTTTTTTTATCGTTAGACAAATTTTTGATTCATTAAAATTATTAATATATATATTGACAAATTTTAAGAGAATTTTTTGAAAAAACAAAATTTTTTTAATTTATTTGTTGTTCGTTTGTAATTTGTATTATTAAAATTTAATTAAAATGTCCGTTAAACGTCTGGAAACCGCTAACAGGAAGTACATCTTTGAGCCCAGATATGTTCCTCCCTCCCCTTTTTGATAGGTTGGCTGTGCAATTAAAAAAATGGAGGAAAGTAGTATTATCATTTTTAATAATTTTTTTTTTTTTAATATTTATAAGTTTTTTTTAATGAAGTGTTAAGTTTACATTAATTTATTTTAATTTAGTATTCTTTGCCCTCTGTTGAAATAGGTAGTGTTTATAATTTTTTTCTATTGATTATTTAAATTTTGAATTTATTATTGACCATATTATTGATAACTAATTGAAAAAAAAAAAAAATAAAATAAATTATTACTTATTAATTTTAAACTAAAGGCATCGATTAATTTGACGTTAAATCCTATTATTTTATCTATGAGATCAATTATTGAATAATTTTATTCTCGAAATATAACCATTACTTAATTATTGTAATTTTAAAAAAAAAATTTTTATATCCATTTAAGGTGTAATGTATTTTTAAATGATAAAAAAATTGATGAAATTATTTTCAAATAGGCATTTCCTGCTTATTTTTATAAAATTTTACATTTTTGTTTTTCACTAATTTAAAAATTTTATGCAAAACCCATTTTTTTTTTTTAAGGGTTATAATACAGTATTTGAAGACATTAAAAATTTTACCTAGTTATCCAATTGATAATTGATTTATTTTATCAGTAATTGTATAATAATAATTTAGTTATCTTGTGTAAGTTTTGTTTTTTTTATCTAATTGTGTTGTATTGTTTTTGCCACATTAAGTTTTAATTGTCAAAACAATTTATGTTATATTACAGTTTATAATATACTTTATGTTTTAGGTAATGCAATAAAACTAGTATGCAGCATGGATGAACAAATTATACAAGACTGGCTTGCAGAGAGTTTACCTACAAGTTCTGACGATATCAGTCGCTATGCAAGTTCATTAAAACATAACACAGACCTTATAAGAACTCTTTTTTTTATTCTCGATGAACATAAAAAGTTTCACAGTCTTATTGAGCCTATTAGCAAGCAGTTATTTAATTTTTATAGATCAAAAGAACCAGAACTGAAAATTTTTACTCTTCAGTTTTTACCAAATTTGATTTACATGTACTTAAATTCTGTTTCAAAAGGAGACAAAAAAGTAGGTCAACCATCATTTTTTTTTTTATTTCAACTAAATTTTAGAACATTATCAAAAACTTAGAATGTTTAAAATTAAAAATTAATTCTAAACTTTATGTAATCTTAAATTAATTCAAAAATCAAATTTTACTTTTTTTTGTTTTTTTTTTTTTTTTTGAAATGGGTTGTTGGAAAATTTTAATGGATTTTATGAGAGGTTATTTAAAATCGAAAATTATAAAAATTTGAATTAAATTTTTTTTATTTTTTACTGAAAATTTTAATTTTAAATTTTGTATTTGATATGATAGATGATTTTTTTGTAAAATAATTTAAATATTAATATTAAATTTAACTTGCAGAGTTACCATAGTGTAGAAACACTTTTAATTGGCATTTATAACCTTGAAGTTGTCGATGATACTGGACAACCTTCTGTTGTGACATTTCGGTTACCTTCTTTGGCTCAGGCTTCTATATTTCATGAACCAATGAGTCTTGCCCATGTATCCTTAACTGAAAGTGCTTTGAGAAGATTAGAAGAATGTAATACAAAACTAATTAGTTGGGGTCCTCATCCTCAGATTGAATTACTGAATGCCCAAAATCGATTACGTACTATTACTAAATTATTATTTATTTATAATCGTCACATTGGTTTATTTAATAAATTATCATTAAATTACCTGTGTAGTGTTTCATCCAGGTACCTATTTTTTTTTTTTTTTTAAAAGCTACAAAACAACAAATGCCAATTAAAACTTATTTCAGTAAAATTATTTTTTATTTTTTTTTTTAGACTTGCCTCCCAAGGATTCAATACAAATATTTCAAAACCGAAAATTCCAAATTCCGAAGGCTCAAAATATGAAAAAACAACAAGAATTCCAGTATCTTTTCAATTTTTTTTAGAGTTGTTGTGCGGTTTATACTATGCAATGTAAGTGTCAATTCGATTATTATTATTTAATTTACTAAAATTTCCTTTACTACTTATTCATTTTTCAAAAATTTATTGATTTATTTTATTTGATTTCAAATTGATTTTAAAAGGTATAATGGTTATGGTCAATTAGCTATGAAAGCTGTTGAAGATGTGTACAATCGTAGTTGTTATGAATGTTATTCTAACGTTATAGCTGTTGCTAATGCGATTAAAAATTCTTCGCAAGTCACATCGAGCAGTAAGTTTATTTAACAAAACTATTTTACGAGTACCATATTATTTTAATCGAATATTATTTACTTATTTATTTTTTTTTTTAAAATTAGGTAAAGACAATGAAGGTCCCATGGGTATTAGTGTGGCTTTATCACCTACAACTACTACTGTTACCACAGTAAATAAATTTATGATAACAAATGCATCGTTTCGAACTAAGAAATTACCTGGTTCGTATTTTAACTCTATTGCTATCTTTTATAGTCTATAAAGTAACTGAATTCTTAGAATTATTATTATTATTATTTTTTTTTTAAATGGTTTGTAAGATTTTTAATTTATGACTTTTTCCCGGTGTTTCTCTAAAGAGGGGGAGGAAAAGGGAAAGGGGAAGGGTTTGAAAGGGAGTTTCCATAACAATATTTTTTAAAATTTAATGATTGCAATTTTCGAGATTATTCCCTTATTATTTTCAGAAACATGGTGTGAGGAACTGGTTTGAAATACATAATTAAGAAAAGAAAATTAAGTGAAATATCTGTCTTTCTCTTTCTCTCTCTCTCTCTCTCTCTGTCTCTATCTCTCTCTCTCTCTATCTCTTTCTCTCTCTCTAATATCTTTCAGAAGACATACCCGTAAGAGGTTGCGCTTTAACTCCTTTATGTTCACCCAAAGTTTACAAACCGAGTAAGAGTCCCAAATCCAGCGGTAAAAAAACTTTTTTTACCCTCGATGACCCTGATCCCGATTGAATCCGATACCTACCTACCTTCCTAGGATTACGTTTACCCTTTCGCTCCCTCAGGTTCGTAATAATTTTCCAAAAAAAAAAAAAAAAAAAAAAAATTTACAATTTCAATCTTTAGTAAAGTTAACATTATCTATCGTTATTAATTACTTTATTTGACCGTTAGAATACATTTAAATAATTTTAAATTACAACCTGAAGCATTCAACAGTTAGAATAAAAATGGCCGTATATCGTTCCCAAGGGAATAATTGTTAATTTGATTTATTACAGATGACATTCCAATTATTCAAAAGCAAGATTCTGCTACGGATTCAGACGTTACCAAACCTCCTCTCACATCCATTACGGAAGAAAAAGAAGACACGGGATTTTCATTGAGAGGAAGTTCGGGACGTAGTAAAAATGCAATGGCGAAAAATCTTCAAAAATTAGGTATAGGTAAAAAGTTAAAAGATAGAGATTCGAAAACATCGTCGAAAAGTTTGACAGGAATGAGTAATTCGGGTCCGGATAATAATAAAAAGACGACGACCGTTCATTCCTCCAGCATAAAAGAAAAATTGACGCAGAAGTCATCTGGAAGTTTACAAAATGGAGATTTTTCAATACCTGACGGTAGTAGTCACAATTCCGTGGGACAAAAAAAAACGATAGAAAACGGTTCGGTGACGGAAGAAACCGGGGATGGGGGGAAGGATAACGAAGGGGGTGATGTTAATTACGAATATCAACCGGGATTATTATCGGATACGGTGGATAATCATACGCCATCATCATCGAACGAAGAAACCATCGGATTATTCGGAACGATTAAAAATACCGAAGAAAAGCCTTTCACTCGTGTTAGTTCAGTATAGCTTTTAAAAAAAATAAATTTCAGTGTATAAAGAAAATTAATATATAAAAAATAATATTTGTGATTTTTTCATATTGATATTCTTCCAATAAATTAAAAAATAATAATAATAATAAATTCATTAACGTGTTAATTAATATTATTATCTTTATTAAAATAAAATAAAAAAATTTAAATTGTTATCTACGTAAAAACATGTAAAATTGTAAAACTGTTATTTATTGATATTTACTATTGAAAAAAAAGATTAAAATAAATGAAAGGATAAAAAAAGTTTTAAATAAATTGTTTTCTTTCTATTATTAAAATAACCTCTAGAGAAAATAATAATAATAATTGTTTTATTAAATAAATTGAAAGAGAGAGAGAGAGAGGGGGGGGGGAAAAAGGATGTAAAAAAAATTTTAAATATTTTAAACTTAAAAGAATTTTGTTTTGTTTTTTTTTTTTTTTAAATAAAATCCCAATTAAATTATTTTTTTTTTTTTTTGGTTTTAAAAGCCATGATGGTAATAATAATAATATCCCTTTTATAAATTGTTCGTTTTCCCCCGGAAAAAAAAAAAAAAAAAAAATCTTTGTTTTGTTTAATGTTGGTTTTTTTAAACTTTTCCCCCCAGATTTTTTTTTTTTTATTAAGCACGTGTGTACGCGCTGTTAGTAAATTATTTTTTCGTTTTAATAATAATAATAATAATAATAATATTGAAATGATGAAATATAATCTATATCAAAATATATGATTTAAATGGTAACTGAGCAATAAACCAAACCCTATTATATATATTTATCTGCAACAAAAATTATGCCTTTTACTAAAAAAAAAAAAAAAAAAAATAATAAACTAAAAATAATAATAATAATAATAATAAGTTTTTACTTAATAAACACATTGCTAATTATTTGTACAAAAAAATTACATATATAAATTATTTTCTAATTCAATTCCTTTATAATTATTATTATTTTTTTTTTTTTCCTTTTTTTTATTACTTTTTAAAAAAAAAAATTTTTTTCTTTATTACAACAATCTCATTAAAAACTTTTTCTTTTTTAAATTTATTTACGACTGAGTATAATTATTATTATTATTATTATTATTATTTATAATATTTGTCGATATTTTATCCGTAATAAATTTAGTCATTTTCATTATTATTATTATTACAATTATAAAAAATTTCCAAAAAAAAAAAAATTAATCAATCAAATTTTAATCGATTTAAAATTTTTCCGTTTTAATAATAATAATAATAATAATAATAATAATAATAATTGTTGATATGCAGTAAAATGTACGATCAAAAAAAAAAAAAAAAACGAAAAAAAAAAAGAAAAAAGTAGAAAAAAAAAAAAAAAAACGAGAAAAAGCAAACAATTTTACTACTGTAGAAACATTGTTTTTTCTTTTTTTTTTATTGCTTACACTATACATGAGAAAGCCCCGAAACTTCCATTAATTCTTCACCCGTATTTAATATTGACGTCATTCCCGTCATAGAATGAGGAAATCGGGAATTATATGGACTCCTTATCGACGACATTGGACCTTTTCGCGGGGATCTAGCTTTTACTATATGCGGAGGCCTAGACATTTCTTCAAGAACGGATGGTGCTACATATGTGAATCCCTGGAAAAATTTTTTAGGGTGAATTACAAAGTGGGGAGCAAGGGGGGGGGGAGTGTGGTCGTAATGCACCGTAAATTAAAAAAAAAAAAAAATATTAAGGGCGTTACCTGAAAAACGCGATTAGCACTTTCGCTAAGTGTATAGTCATCGGGTGAATCAAATGGAGTTTGTTTAGTGAATTTTGTATCAAATTGCGATACGTCGTCTTCACTAGTCTGAAACACACAAACAATACAAATTTGAAAATATATACAAAAAAAAAAAAAGGGATTAATTTTTTAAAGTTGAAATTAAATATATATTAACCAAACAAGGCTTAAAAGGAGGCTCCAATTTTCTAGAAATAACATCCGACCAATTAATATGTTTAAAAAATGCGTGTCTTCTTATTGCTTTACCATCTTCTGCACCGGAACCCAGTCTTTGGTTGACTTGCCTCTGAAAATGACATAATTATTATTATATATATAATGTAAAAAGGTGGTTGCAGTCGGAGGAAAATGATTGAAAAACTTTTTAATTTTTTTTTTTTATTATTAGTACCTTTAATAATTTCCTAATAAGATCCCTAGCATCCGGTGTCACATAAGGAGGCAAATTAAGTTTTCCTTTTAATATAATTTCGATAGTTTTTTTACGATTTTCCGCAGTGAATGGAGGCTAAAAGAAGTAAAAAAAAAAAAGTTTAATTATTTTGACTTTTTTTTTAGTTCTTTCAAAGTTTTTAAAATTTTTTAAGTTTCACCAACATTTCCAGTAAGCATATCATATAGTAATGCTCCGAGAGACCACCAATCGACAGCTTTTCCGTGTCCGCTGCGAGTTAATATTTCAGGAGCCCTGAAGTGAAAATCACCAACCAAAATATATATTTAAAAAAAAATTTTTTTCTCAATTTTTTTTTTTTTAGTAATGTAAAACGTGTTTACGGTTACTAACATATATTCAATTGTTCCACAAAATGTGTGCGTAACTATTCCCTCCTGTATATGTTCCTTACAAAGACCAAAATCAGTGAGTTTAACGTGACCTTGAGCATCTAATAGAACGTTTTCAGGCTTTAAATCTCTATAAATAATACCTTGGTTGTGCAAATGTTCCAAAGCTAAAATTATTTCAGATAAATAAAAACTGAAAACACAAAGAAAAAAAAAAAAAAAAATTTTTTTATAATAAGGCGCTGAGTGATCAAAAAACCTAAGAAGTAAATTTAAAATTTAATTTTAACTAAAAATATTTTTTATTTCATTTAAGAGAATCTCATTTGTTTTGCAAATTTCACAGATGAAAAAAATTACCAAGCTGATTCTTCAAGAAAAATTCCTTCTCGTTCTAAATGCATAAATAATTCTCCTCCGCTTAGATATTCTAATATCAAATATAATTTACCACCAGTTTGAAAGGCATATTTTAAATCAACTATAAATGGATGCTGAAATAAAAATAAAATGTTTTAATACATTTAAATTATAATAATAATATTAAATTTAAGAAATGAGTTCGAGAAATTTTATCGAAACTTTACCTTGACAGCTTCTAATATGTTTCTTTCTGCTTTTGTATGAGCAGTATCCTTTTGATTTCTTACAATTGATGCTTTTTTAAGAACTTTCATGGCAAATATTGTGCCCGAGTCCTGCCCAGTGACTTTTTTAACTTGGAAGACTTTTCCATACCCTCCTTTACCTAAGACTTTAAGAAGAGAAAAGTCCTCAGGTCCAGTTTTCTCTTTTCCCAGATTTACCGTTTGCTCTGATAACTGAACAGTTTCTAAATCTTCAGAGCTAAAAATTAAAAAAAAAAAAAAAAGGATTAATTTATAATTTGATAATGTTCCCGATAAAAAATTACAATATTAATCAAATTACGTTTTAATTTCAGCTTCTAAATTTCAAAAAAAATTTTACTCATAACTTTAAAATACAATTTAATTAATATAAAAAAGAAAATAAAACTGTGAAAAAGTAGTGTATTAAGTAACTGACTTTAAAAAATAATTATTTAACGAATAAAATATTTCGTACAAAAAAATTTATTTCGATTTTAGTTTAATATTTTCACTAATATTGTAAATGTCACATATTATTTTAAGAAAAAATTTTATAAATAAAAATATTTCTTTTGCAACATTTTAAAATAGATATAATAAATAGAAAGTAAATAAATATGTTGTTGATAATATTGCAAGCAGATATTTAAAAAATTTTTAATTATTATTTTAAATCATGAGGTTTTGTAAGATAAACATTGAATTTCTCTTTCCTTTTAATTGAAAATTAAAGTATTTTACTTAAAAACTTAAGAAGACAAAATTTTAAATGCACAATATGCTACTTACTGTATAATGGCATTGACATTAGGATGTGCATCGTATTCATCCTAAAAAATATAAAAAAAAGTACTTGTTAAATAGGAAAATATTTTGAGATTACATGTAAAAATAATTATTATGTAAAAAATTTTTTTGATAAAACAAAAATTAAACGATATTACGAAAATTGCGTTGTAGCAGTTAAAGGCATTTAAATATCAACAAGGTTAGGTTAGAGACATTGCCAGTTGAGTTTTTAATTGCGTATTAAATTAAAAACCAATCAAATGAGTTTTTACTGGACTTGTTAAGGTTTGAATAATTAAGGCAATAAAATAATAACTATTGTTTTAGTTATTTAGGCTTGTCAAAGGAACAATATGATTTGAAATTTCATTAAATTGTTGTTCACCTCTTCTATATCTATACCATCGTCATCAGAATCATCTTTATCCACGTTTTCATCATGAAGTTCAATATCAAATACGCCAGCCATTTCGCTAAGGTATTTTTAGTTCTTCAATTATCACATTGATTAATTAATGCACATATGTTTCAGATTCACTAGAAAAAATTGAACGAAATATTTATTTTAATATTGCTCCACAACAACCTCCCCACCTGCTTCATGCGTGTGAAAATGGGGTTATGTGCAGAAAGTAAATTCCGCGTTTCTGCGCAATATGCCGCAATTCTTAACTCTAATATCATTTTCTTAAATCTTGGAAATTTCATTCGTATGATTCAAATATTTTTCAGAAATAATCATTTCATTGACAAATGTCGTTTTTAAAAATACCAAAAATGAATTTATACTTAAAATCAGCAAGTAAATGATTCCTAAACAAACTTTTGAATGTTCTTTCGAATACGTAAGTGTAGATTTAAGGCAAACTTTAACTTTTTATAATCACATGTAATAAGCAGTTAAAAAAAATTATTTTTCACTTACGTCTTCTATTATATAATTAATTTTCGCAACGAAATATATATTTTTTTTTTATAAACTAATTATTTCTGTTGATTCTTGTTTGTAAAAATAATACTTTCGCCAAGAATTAAAATAAGTACTTATTTACATTAGATTAAAATTTAATAGTTAAAAAAATTATTATTATTATTATTATTTTTTAAAACGTGTTTATTGGGAAAGAAATTTTTACACAAAACTTGTTTTCGATGACAAAATGACAATTGGCATTTAGTTTTAGTAAAAGGTGAATAATAAAGTTTAACCATTCGACTAAAATTGTTTAAAATACTTTTAATGATACAAATAAATTTATATTTGAGCAAGTAAGAATTTTAGTTTAGATATTTATACTAAGAATTACTAAAAGTTTAGTAAAGGAGTAAACTAATGTAATGTTTATTTTAATGCAACTTAAGTTTTTAAGTTAAGCGTTTATTATTATTATTATTATTATTATTATTATTATTATTATTATTATGAATTCTAAGATTTACTAATTAATTTTATTATTAATTATTTAAAAAAATATTTTATTGAGCTATAATTAATGATGATAACAAAGTTAGGTCAATTGCGTATTAAAATCGTTGTTGGGCTATTACGATAAAAAATTAAATTTAATTTGAAAATTTGAAAAAATTAGGTATTTTATTTATTTTGCATTAAAAAATTAACGATTAAAAAGTTAAAATAAAAACTTTTATTAAAAAAAAAAATTAAAGAAAGATTATTATGTAGATTGAAAATGCTAAACATTCATATAATAACGAATTTTTTTATTATTATTTTGCTGCCTTTAGTATCCAAAAACAATCGTCTTGTTGTGAATGGGCCACGTAAATATGGAATCGTAGACGTCAACAGTAAAAAATTTATTAATTGAGTTTAAATAATATTTGTGACAATGGGTAGTAATCAAAGCGCAGAAATACCTGGAGGTGGAACGGAAGGATATCACGTTTTAAGGGTGACTTTAATTTTACCTTTTTGACATGTTTAATTTGTTATTTAAATTAAGTTTAACCGGAATTAGTACCAACTAACACCGAGTTTTAAAATGGTTTTTCATTTGTTTTATTTAGGTTCAAGAGGGCTCTCCTGGTCATAAAGCTGGATTAGAAGCATTTTTCGATTTTATCATTACTATAGGTACCACTCGATTGGTGGGTATACGTATTTATTTAATTTCCCATAATTAGTATTATTAGATGCTATTTTTAATATTGTTAATCTGAAGTGAAAATTTATTTTAGGACCAAGATAATGATACTTTAAAAGAACTTTTAAAAGCAGGCGTTGGTCAGGAATTAAAAATGACAGTTTATAGTAGTAAGACTCAAAATGTTAGGACAGTTTCTATTACACCAAGTTCTTCTTGGGGAGGCCAAGGATTGTTAGGCGTTAGTATAAGATTTTGCTCATTTGAAGGAGCCAATGAAAACGTTTGGCATGTTTTGGTATGTAATAGTTATGACATTTTTCATAAAATTTTATGTGTAGCTTTATAATGTAATTTGTTTATTTTTGAGTCACAAATTTTGTTAAGAGTCGGAATTATAATTTTTAATTATGATTTCGCTGTTTGTTTTAAGTATTTGGTTTCTGAAATAACATGATAAAATAATTTTTCAAGCTATCTCTTAAATTATTCAAATTTAAATAAGCAGCTTAAAATATTATATATGCCTTAAAGTTCTTTTTTTTGTTCCTTAACTGAATATTCATTGTATTGTTAAATTAATAATAGGAAGTGCATCCATCTTCTCCTGCTGAAGCTGCTGGGTTAAAGCCATTCGAGGACTATATAATTGGTGCTGATTCTATTTTACATGAATCGGAAGATTTATTCAGTTTGATTGAAGCCTATGAAAATAGAGCTCTAAAACTTTACGTCTACAATACAGGAAATGATACATGTAGGGAAGTTACAATAACACCTATGTCTAATTGGGGAGGAGAAGGAAGGTATACATATTTTTTTTTATAATTGCACATCATTTATTCAAAAACAAAAAAATTATTTTTTAATTTTTTTTTTATTAAAGTTTGGGCTGTGGAATAGGATATGGATACCTTCATAGAATTCCAGTAAGAACTATTCCGTCGCTTAATATGCCTTCAGATACTTCTATCCCCAGCAAAACTGAAAGTAGTTTTAATGAGTCAAATCTGCAGGCTTCAAAACCTGTATCTTCTCAGGCTACTACAACTTTATCTCAAAATATTCCACAACAGACATTATCAAATTTGACAAATGTACCAACTCCAAACTCTGAATTTTTAAGTTCTCCACCAGTATCTGATTTTCTTAAAACTTCTCCCCCAGTATCAGAATACCTTAAATCACCTCCTGTATCAGAATTCCTTCCTCCACCTCCTGTTTCCACATATATTTCAACCTTTAACTCTTCTGTGCCTCAATATTCAGGTCCAGTGTTTGTTTCAACACCATTACCAGTACCAAAAACTACACCCCCGATTAATCCATATATAAACACTGCTTCTCATACTTCAACTCATCCTTCCTACAACTGGATGCAAACCCCACACCCTGCAACATTGGGAGGAGCTACTACAATTCAGACTAATAATTTTGCTTCAAGTGGTAATTCTGCCAGTACAGTACCTGGTGGAGTAATCCCTGCAGTTACATCTAGTAAGTTTCACACTCTACTAAATTTTTAATAACTTAAAATGAAAATTTTTAAAACGACAACATATTTAAGAAAATAGTTAATACTTGTTTTATATCTGGACAAAATACTCAGAGTTTTATTTAAATTTATTAAACTACAAGAAAAGCTTTTAGTATCACAAGAAAAAAGTTTTAATAATTTTTAATTAATTTTTTTTTTTAGGTTTTTATCAGCCAACAATACCAGGAATGCCTTTTGCTACTCCTGTTAATACACCAGGGTTTATGCCTACCACAACAAATGCTTCTGTGCCTTTCAGCACATTAGGATATCCAAACCAAGGAGATCCTTCTAATTATCCGATGGGAGTTCACGTTACTCAATAAATAGCTTTTTATGCAATATTTTAGTTAATATATATATATATATAATTATAGGCTTACTTGATTATTATAAATGTTTAATACAAATAATAAAAAACTTAATTACAATTTAAAAGTGCCATTTTTATTTTAAACAAAAAAAATATAAAATTTACACCTTTTTCGAATAATATGAAACTTTTTAATTTAGAGCCAGTTAAAAAGTTAGATTAAATTTTTTTTATATAACTAAAATGAATTTAGCTAAATCGTAATTGTTAATATAAAACAAAAATTTTTATAAATTGATTATTTCCATTTCACATGCATCTTATACTTTGAAGAATTGTATCAATTCGAAATCCATGCAAAAGTTATTTTAAATAGAATATTTAAAGAGATAGTTAAATAATTGTTATTGTAATAAATTTTTATTATAATAAATTTATTATAATTACTACTTATTTTAAATATTAATAATTTAAATATTTTTTAATGTAAATATTAAGAATTGATACTCGGAACTTTGTATGAATTTAATGTAGGTAATTATTGAATATATCATAAAGTGTACTACTTAATAATAAAATATACTGCAAAATCACATAATTTTATAATTATTATTTAATTGTTAATTACACAATTATGTCATCTTCTCCTATTTCATCATCTGGAGGCAAATTAATTTTTGACGGATCGACGTAATTAGGGTCGATTGGATCTAATCCTAGTTGCTCTCTTTCATGTAACCTAATAAAAGCTTCTCGTTGAAACCAACTTCTATTTTGCGTTGATGGAGAGTACAAGTACAGAAAACCTGTACAAACGAACCCAATAGTAACAATGCAGAAACAACTAACGTGCATTCTAAATCTATCATCTTCTTTGTCGTGATAATTGTACCCATAAGATATCCAATTTTTACTTTCCGAAGGTTTTGAGAAGTCCGGAATCTTTAGGTGTCCGTTATTTGGCGGAGGACATGCATCGTTTGATTCTTTTTTTTCCTTAGATGTTGAAATCAATCTACAGAAAAATTTTTCATTCCTCGGAATTATTCTCCTAATTGATATATTTCTAAAACTGACTAGAGCTGCCATTTTTCTAGCAGACTACCAGATGATTAAATATAACCATTAAAAATAGCAAACCTAAATATTACTCTCTAATTAATGTTTATTAACTGATTTTAAATCGCAATTAATTGTATTCGAATAATAATTATTTAAATATATCTAAAACGAATTTTACACTTATAATAATAATAATAATATTGAAAGGTTTAAATTAGTCTTGTTGCTTCAAAACTTTGCTTTCATTCAAAGCTCAATTTATTTAATGTATTAAATGCTGGTAGGGCCGACAATGTTACCGCATTAAACTAATATTTAAGTATCACATATAAAAAATATGATTTGTTTTAAGATAATATTCAAAATTTAAGAATTAAATATAAACTTATAAATGATTATTAATTAAAATGACTGACAAATCAACGATAAAGGTACATAATTAAAAAGTGCATTTAACTAATAATAATAATTTTGGAATAAGTTTATTTATACTTGATTTGATTTTTTCTTTAAGCAAATAGCAGAGCAAAAGCTTAAAGCTTTTTCAATTGGAACAATGGGTAAAAGACCATTGTCAAAACGTGAAATAGAAGAGCAAAGAAAGAAAGAGGAAGAAGAAGCTGCAGCTCATGTGAGTTTTTATTTATAGTTGTATTTAAGTTATTGGAATGAGTATGTGCAGGTTACTGAAATTTCGATTATGAATTATTTTTGATCTATGCATAGTAGCAATTTTGCTTTATATTATTCAAATATTAAGAAAGAATACATTTTAAATTATTTATATGATTTTACTCAGGCTTTTCAAGAATTTGTAGAAACATTCACTGATGTACCTGTAAACAAAACTGGAAAAGTGTGGGTTAAAGCAGGAACATACGATGCCGGCAAAAGACGTAGGTTTTGTTTGTTTTACCTTTAATGAAATTTAAAATTTTTATTTTGTGCTAAAAATAACCAGAAATCTTGACAAATTAATTATTATTTTTTAAAATAAAAATAACATTAATTTAAAATAATGTTAATTGTAGGTATATGTCATCCAATATTATTATCAAACATTCAAGTTTTATAAAATTCCTTTTTCTAAAATTCTAAAAAGTTAAAAGTTTAATAGTTTTAAAATACACTGATAAAGCTTTTAAGTCAGTAATGAAAAAAAATTTTTATCTTTTCAGAGGAAGATACACGAGAAAAAGGAAAACTGTATAAGCCTCAAAGTAGAATCACAGACAATGTTGAAAAAAGCACTACATCTGACAGAGCTCAGGAATATGCAAAGTTACTTGTGGATAAAAAGCCAGAAAAGCCAAGTAAAAAAAAATCTAATGACAAGAAAAAAAGTAATTTAGAATTATTTAAGGAAGAGCTTAAAATGTAAGTAAAATAATTAAAGTTAATATTCTGAAAATCAACATGCAATGCTTTTATTGAAAACATATCATTTTTAACATGTATATAGTATACAGGTTGACATTTACTTATAATAAGCATAAAAATTTGAAAAGATAATTATTTTATTTCCAACTATAATTTTTATAAAATTCTGGTTTAGTTAAAATTATTTTTAATAAATATCACAATGGTAAGAGGTCACTTAATTTTGTTTCAGGATTCAAGAAGAAAGGGAGGAACGACATAAGTACAAAGGAGCTTTAAAAGCAGAATTGGGAAATGACTTCCCACCATCATCTACTTCCGAAATACCTAGTCTAATGTCTCAACGTCCTATTATTTTACCTGAAGATCAGCTGCTTGGATCCTTTGATTGTGGAGATCCCAACACTACTAACATTTATCTTGGGAATTTAAATCCTAAAGTGAGTGACTCACTTAAACTTTTACTAATTAAAAAATAATACTTTAAACAGCTAAATAATAAGTATTTGTTATTATAATTTTCTTTTTTTTCTAAAGTTATTAAATATTATTATTTATAGATAAAACATGCAATTTATTTATTTTTGTTTTTGTTAGATTACCGAACAGCAATTAATGGAATTATTTGGTCGATATGGCCCTTTGGCGAGTATAAAAATAATGTGGCCTAGGACAGATGAAGAAAAAGCTCGAGGGAAAAATTGTGGATTTGTCGCTTTCATGAATAGAAAAGATGGTGAAAGAGCAATGAGAAATTTAAATGGAAAAGATGTTATGCAATATGAAATGAAATTAGGATGGGGAAAAACGGTTCCTATTCCTCATCATCCAATTTATATACCTCCATCATTTGTAGAATTAACATTACCTCCTCCACCTTCAGGCCTTCCTTTTAATGCTCAACCCTGCCGAAAAGACAAACATAGAGTATGCATCAAGGGCAGAAATTTTTTAAAATAAAATTTTTCCTTTAAAACTTATTATAAATACTTTTTTATTAGGTGACTCGAATGGTAAGAGGTATCGAAACGATATCTAAAGAAGAACTTAATAAAATATTGTACAATGCAACAGTTAAAGTCGTGATTCCCACCGATCGTCAATTGCTTATGCTTATAAATAGAATGATAGAATTTGTTATTAGAGAGGGCCCCATGTTTGAAGCAATGATAATGAATCGAGAATTAATGAATCCAATGTACAGGTAAGTAAATTTAGTTTAACTGTGTGATTTTTAAAGCAATTTTATTTTTATTTTTTTTTTCTAAAACCACGATTATGAATTTTTAGATTTTTATTTGAAAATCAAAGTCCTGCTCATATTTATTATCGTTGGAAATTATTTTCAATACTACAAGGTGATACTCAAACGAAATGGAGCACAGATGAATTTAGGATGTTTAAAGGAGGTTCCATATGGAAACCACCTCCTATGAATCAATACACGCAAGGAATGCCGGATGATTTAGTTGACGACAAGGATGATTTTGAGCCGAGGAAAGGAACGTTGTCAAACACACAAAGAGACAGATTAGAAGACCTACTAAGAAACATTGGTCCAGAGCGTATAAAAGTGGCCGAGGCAATGGTTTTTTGCATGGAGCACAGCGAAGCAGCTGAAGAAATTTGTGATTGCATTGCCGAATCTTTAGGAATTTTACATACTCCAATTCATAAAAAAGTTTGTTTTTTATTTCGGTTACAAAAAAAAAAAATTTAATTGGTCTTTTACAGCTTTTTTAATTTTTTTTGTACAAATAATATATTAGATAGCTAGACTTTATTTAATATCAGACATTCTACATAATTGCGGAGTGAAAATAACAAACGCTTCGTACTTTCGTCGTGGATTAGAAACAAGACTGATGCAAATATTTGCTGACGTGAATCTAGCTTATATGGCACTTGAAAGTAGACTAAAAGCAGAAGGTTTTAAAATGAGAGTAATGGCAATGTTTAGAGCGTGGGAGGAATGGGCGGTTTATCCGAGAGATTTCCTTATTAGACTGCAAAATACCTTTTTGGGATTATCAGTGGTAAACATTTACTCGTTTCATTTAATATTACATAAATATATTTTTCATAATGTAGTGATATTTACTCAGTAATTTACTCTTTATTCTAAGGAACCCGAGCCTGAAATTGATTCTAAACCGGATAATCGACAAGACTTAGAAATAGATCCCGAAATAGACGGCGCGCCTTTGGATGATAATCCAGAGGATGATGATTTAGATGGATTACCGCTTGATGGAGCTGCTCTATTAAAAACAGCCATCAAAAGTTTAAAAAAAGATGATGAAGACATTGATGGAATACCTAGTAAGAAGATTCGTGAATAATTTATTTATTTTATTATTAAAAATAGTAAATAAAATTTTTTTTATTTTACCCTAGTGGAAGATTTAGACGGTGAACCTTTCGAAGAAGATTTAAATCAAAAAAAAAAGAAATCGACTGGAGCTTTCGTGCCATCCAAATGGGAAGCTGTTGATCCCGAGCAGATCGAAGCACAGGCAATGACCACAAGTAAATGGGATCTACTGGAACCTCCTCAACACGTAAAGAAAAATAAATTTACATCTTATCGATTAATAATAAGAACTTTTAACTTAATTTCCAAATATAATCCAGGAAGAAGAAAGTTTGGGACAAAGTCAGGAGGATACCGAAAACGAAGATGATTCACAGGAAGGAGATACAGGTGATAGTTTTAGAATAATGAACGAGGAAAGGCGAGCTATGTTAAGAGAAATAGAATTAAAAGTAATGCAATATCAAGATGAATTAGAATGCGGAACGAGGAAAACGAAAACGGGATGGACCATAGGTCAACAAGTCGAACATTTCCGGCGGAAATTGATGAAAAGGTCAGAAAAAGAAAGAGTGGTCGATGATAAGGAAGAAAAAGAAGACAATGCTGACAAGAGAAGGCATCATTCACCTTCTTACGGGTAATTATTTATTTTTTAAATAACTTTTATAATCGAAAACAAAAAAAAAAATGATTACCTTTTGTATTTTGTCTTTTGCAGCCCAAGGAAGACAAAGAGATCTCGAAGTGATTCTTCAAGTCCGCCTCCTGTAAAGAGAAGTCACAGGTATGATAGAACTACTTCAGTTCAAAGACTTATTATTTTATTTTCAGCAAACAACAAGATGAGTTTAAATAATAATCACTTTATTTATAATTTTTTATTATTATTAAAAAAAAACGAATCCAATCGTTTTACTTTTAGGAACCCTTATTTATTTTTTATTAATTTTACAAATGGTTTTTTTTTTTTTAATTAAAAATTAAAAATGGCCGGATGATTTGTTAAAAAAAAAAAAAAAAAAATTGTTTTTTTAAAATTGTGTATAATTCATATGTGTACTTGGTGTAAATGTCTCAGATCACACAGTCGGAGCGACAGTCCTTCTGTTAAGAAACCGTCATCACGCCGTTCACGATCCCCATATTCGAAAAAATCCCGGACTTTGTCTTCACCTTCGCTTTCTCCTACGTATACCAGGAAATCCCGCGTTAGCCCTTCCTCTCCTTATAAAAAATCATCGGTCCGAGGTTTGTCTCCCGCGACTTCGCCTCGTTCAAAAAATTCCTCTCAAAGGAGAGGAAGTTCGCCTCAATCGCCCGGAAGATCGAGACGTCGTGAACATTCCCCTTCGACTTCTCCGCGTCCATCGTCAAAGAAGAGAGATACGTCACCGGGAAGAGGAGGAGGAGGAGGAGGTGGAGGAAAGCATTCCAAACACAGGACGTCGGGAAATGAATCACCATCGAGGAAGCACAAAGACAAACACAACAAATACAAATATTAGAAAGAGAGAGAGAGAGAGAGAGAGGATTTTCTTCTTATTCTTCTTCATCATCTTTTTTTCCCCCATAATTTTTTTTTTCTCTCCCCCCCCCCCCGCCCACCTCTCGAACAGCAGGTACGTCGTTTTGGTTAATTCAATCTGTTTCAGGTACGATATGTATTTTTTTTTTTTCGTCATTTGTGTTGAATTTATTAATGAATTTTTTTCTTTTTTTTTTTTTAAAAAAATAGCTCGAATTAATTAATTAATTGGTAATTTAACAAATAATTTTTATATATTTTACAGAAATTAATTTTTAGTTTTAATTTTTTAGTATCGAGCCGGAAATCAATCAATCAATCAATCAATCAATATATTTAAAAAAAAAAAAATCGATAAAACAGATCAAATCCGAATTTTATATTTTAAAAAAAAAAATTTTTTTTTTTTTTTTTTTTTCGTTTCAAAGTCCCATCGTGAATTTAAAATGAAAAAAAAAAAAAAATGAATGATATTCATTTTTGTAAAAAAAAAAAAAGTGTTGTCCCCATGTTTAATAAGGGAAAATAATAATAATAATAATAATAATAATAATAATAATAATAATAATAATAAAAACTGAACAATTTTATTTGTTTTTAATAATAATAATAAAAGTTTTTTTTTTTTTTAAATTATCTATTAAATTTATTCGTGAGTAGAATGATGATAATGATGATGGTTGTCATATGCTCTTTGAATATTTTCTCGGGGTGGGGGGGGTAGGGGGTAATTGATGTACTATTAAAAAATTTTTATTCGATTTTAAAACGTTAAAAAAAAAAAAAAAACTATACGGATAAACGTTAAGAAAATCTTATCGGTTGTGATTCTTTTTTATTGAGTTTCTTTATCTGGTGCCACGATTATTTTATTTAAAAAAAAAAAAATTAATTTTAATAATTATTAAATTTGTGTCGCAAAAATTTTTTTTTTTTAAAAATAAATTTTATGTAAACCTTGAAAATTTTTCTTTTTTTAAATAGGAATTTATTAAATATTTTTTTATGCTAATAATAATAATAATAATAATAAAATTGTAAAACGAGCCAAGTCATTTAGACTTTATTAAAAAATTATGGATATTGTACAAATTATATATGTATAAATAAATAAATTTTTATTATTTTCAATAAAATTAACTAACGATTTAATTTTAATTTTCTTTTATTAAAAAGTTTTTTGTAAATTTTTTTTTATAAATAAACCAAAAAATAAAAAAATTAATAATATATTATTATTATTATTATTAACATTTAATAAAATTTCCTTCATTGAATTCATTAATTAATTTAAAATTCTCCAGAGAAAAAAAAAGAAAAAAATTGATTTATTACCATAATCATCATCATCATCATCATCATTATTGTAAATTTTAATCGTCTTCGTCGTTTTTTTATTAATATTTTTATTTATTAATTTTGTTATTAAACAATAATAATAAAATTGAATAAGTTTAAAAATTTATTTATTTATTTATTTATTATTATTATTGTGCTCTCTCTCTCTCTCTTTCTCTCTCTTTCAATTAAAACACAAAAAACAATAATTTTTTAAAAAAATATTATTTTTTACAATTTAATAAAAAAAAAAAATTAATAATTATAAATAATTAAAAAACTCTCGAGGGTTTTTTTTGTTTTACTTTCTGTTTAACGAGGAGGAGTAATCACCGCCTTCCCGAAAAAAAACAAAAACAAACAAAAAACGATAATTTTTGAACACAACATTTTTTTTTATTTAATGTTTTTCTTCCTTTTATGCAATAATAATAATAATAATAATAATTTTTTGATTTTCGATCAACGATGCACGAGGGGGGGGGAATGCGGAGGTGGGGGCGGGCGGGAGAAAAAAAAGTTTGGAAAAATTAAAAAAAAATTTTTTTTTTCATATATTCGTCGTTTGATTTGTCGACGCCATTTTAAAATTGTTTTTAAATGATGGCGAACACGATTTCACTCCTCCTCCTCCTCCTCCTCCTCCTCCTTTTTCTATTTGAAATGATATTTCGCTTTCGGATGTTTTAAAAAAACCGTTAGTCAGTGAATTTTGAAAATTTTCTCCCGTGACCGGAGTTTGTGGTGCCGAAGAATATTGTTGCCTTTGTACAATTTTCAACAATCCTCCATTATTTCTTGTCATGTTTGGATCCATCGAAGTTTGCCTTTTTGCAAATGTGATAATAATAATAATAATTTTTTTTTTTTAAACAAATCATTTTGATAAAATTTTCCAAGAGTTTTTTTTTTTTTTTTTTTTTACCTTTCAGATTCTTTTAAACCTCCTCCTCCTCCTCCTACTCTTGTCGTGTTACGCCTGTGTTCTTGTGACACGTCTCTATTCGATAGTCTAACGCTGCTAAAACGCTGATTTCTTATCGGTTCTTTATTATTCATGCAATTCATTTTTTTCTCTTGTGATTTCGTACGATTCATTTTCATGTTCGTCTCTGTAATAATAATAATAATAATAATAATAATAATTAAAGTAATTCGAACGATTAAGTAATTTAACGAGAAAAATTTAGACATTTACGAGCATTTTCCGTTTTTCTTATCGTTTGTTTTCTTCTCGCTTGTACCATCGTGTACACCACAGCTGCCAAAGAACTATTTTGACTCGGTTGTCGTACAAATATTGCACTCCCATCACATTTTTTACCCAATACGAAATAAGTTTCCATTTGTCCTTTACCTTTAACCTCGACTATTCCACGCCTTTCAACGTGAAAACCTTTTTTTTGAAGAACCTGCGTTTAAATATAAATTTTTTTTTGTACAAAAGGTAATAAAATGGAGAGTAATAATTTTGTTTTTTTTTTATCATTAATATTACCGAAGCAACTTCTTTTGTTACTTGTATTTTTCCCATTTGTCCAGTCGAATCCATTCTGGAAGCTTCATTGACCGTGTTTCCCCAAATATCGTATACAGGTTTTCTCGCACCTGTTTTTCGTTTTAAACAAAATTGTTATATAATTGATTAAATTATTATTTTAAAAATATTTAATTAATATTTACCGATTACTCCTCCGACCAAAGGACCGGAACTTATACCGACGCGTAAATGAAATTGATTGTACGAATGTTTGTTCACATCTTCTAATCTTTCTTTCATGGAAAAAGCAAAATTTACAAGAGCGCATATGTGTTCGGTGGATACGTTTGCCTTTGCGGAAAAATAAAAAGGCCTTTTAGGAAAATATCGGATTATTAAAAAATTGACGCTAATCCAAATCTCACCTTATCCGTTGGATTTAATCCGCTGGCGGCCATGTAACAAGCACCGACGGTTTTGATTTTTTCTATGCATGAAAAACGGGATTCGTCTAGAAGTTCATCGAAATCAGCAATTATTTCATTCAGCAATCTAATACATTCAACTCCTCTGTTCACATCTTCAGAATAAAATTCTGTAAAATTAGGAATGCTGGCAAACATGACGCCCACGTTATCCCTTTGCTGAGAATAAAGTTCCTAAAATTTAAATTTAACGGTTTAAACGAATAATTTTTGACAAAAAAAAGAAAATTTTTCTTCGTTGTTGTAAATCCAAAAACCTCGGCTCTTCTTTCGTTCGTTAAAAAATGATTTGCCACGTGATCGGGAAGAATATTTCTCAATAGTTGAGAATTATTTTGCCTCGTTTCGGTCATGTCTTGCAATTCTCTTTCCGCAACTTGTTTCCATAGAAAATCCAATCTGGACGTTATGTCGACGAGACGACCGTGATAATTGACGACGACGAGAAACACGCACAAAAGTATAAACATTTCCCAAGCTTGAAATTTATCACTGTTCGATTCTGAGCAAAATATTTCGAAAAAAATTATGAGAACGGAAAAACCGGTCACGAGTATCACAGACAAAATGGTTTTCACAATGAAATTAAGTTTTAAAAACGTCGCAAGAGCTATGAGACATAAAACCCATGAAAAAACTAAATATTGAGATTTTCTTCTCTGCCATTCTGAAATTCAACAACAAAAGACTCCATTTTTTTTTCTGTTTAATAAATTAATAAAAAAAAATAAAAATAAATAAATAAAATTTACCTTTTGAATCCGTGTAAAACTCGTTTACCTCAAGATCGTAATTTTCCTCTTGATTTTTCTCAATGATGGCAATGACATTAATATTAATTATGGTATTGCTACGATTTCCAGGTAGGAGAATCGATTCGCTAGGTTCAATCACTTTGACTACGTTCGATGTTAGAAATGAATTTGATTCAGTTACGTTTTTAGATTTTTGAGAAAATGCCGTCTGCAAAAAAAAAAAAAAAAAGAACATTTAAGCAAAATGTCGGTAGTGCTGGTTCATTTAAAAGGGGGGGGGGAGAAAAAAGACAAAAAAAAAACGTACGAGTGTAACCGATGATGATGCAGCCATGACTAAAATTATAAAACACGTGAATGCCGTTCTTCTATCTTTATGTTCGACTAACGAAGTCGACATTTTTTGTAGAATTTTCGGAAATGTTGAAAATTCGTCAGATATTACAAGGACCATGGAAAATGTGAGGATGCCACTTCCGAGGCTCAACGTCAATACAAATAATAAATTTCTGGAAAAGAAAAAAAAATTTTCCTATCACTCGTTCCTACTACTACCACCACCACCACCACCACTACTCATCGTGCCTTACATGTTTTGAACGATTATAAGTTGAAGAATAATAACAAATATCCAAATAATAAAACAGCAAAGCATATTCGATTTAAACATGTCTTCTTTTGTTTGAGCAAACTGAAAATAAATAATAATAATAATATAAAAGTAAATTTTCAACGGTTTTGTTGTAAAGTTAAAGTAAAAAAAAAAAAAAAAAACCTTTTTTTCTAATTCTACATCTTTAAATTTAAGACTCCAAACGCTTATATTAGCACTTTTCATTTTTTTATTTGATGCTATTTCAATACTTTGGTCAATTATTTCATCCAATTGTTCGGATAAAGGTACGTTATTAGCTTTTTGTTTTTCAGAACCTGCGTCTTCGATTTCTTCAATTTCGTCATTTTCATCGGAAGAAGTCGATAACTACATTTAAAAAAAAAAAAAAATATGTAGAAAAACTACTCGTTTTATTTTAAAAATTAAAAAAAAAAAACTTTTATTGCGAAATAATGATACGATTTATAAACAAACATTTTCAAATGGTATTTCCGGCATCCATTCTGCAGAATTTTTATTATCCGTTGTATTTTTTAATTTATTATCATTATTTATCCCTTCGATGGGTACATATTGATTATTATATTTCCTTTTAAAATTTGTACTAATTTTTTCATCTTCAGACCAAAGTCTGGGTCGTAAAAATTTTTCAAATAATTGTTTACAAGAACTCGGTTGATGAGTTTGTTTTATGAAAAACGTTTCCACGTTGTGCTCCTAAAAAAAATAAATTTTCTTTTATAATTGATTCATATTTAATTACATCAAATCCACATTTAAAATCAATTAATTGTAATTTTACCTTTAAATAATTATCACGTGATCCTCCATTACCTGGTTCAACTTCGTAGACGTCGTTTAAACAATTTAAAGTCGATTTCGAAATGTGTACTCGTCTGAAAAAAAAAAAACAAAAATTAAAATTTCGTACAAAACAAATTTTAAATTATGGTTTTAATAAATAAATATTGAGACCCCGGAAGTCCTCCTGCTTCCATTTTATTAGCCAGAGTAACATCGTGTGACCAAACATCAAATTGCCATTTTCTAAGTCCTAAAACACCGCAAAGAACCGAACCGGAATGAACTCCTATTCTCATGTTTAAATTAACTTGAGCATTTTGATTTACTATTTTAATGGCTTCGATCATTTGTAGACCCATTTCTACGCAACAAATTGCATGATCCGTTCTCGCTCTCGGAAGTCCCGAAACGCAATAATAACAATCTCCCAAAAGTTTTATTCTTAAACAATGAGTGAGCTATATGTAAAACAAAAACAAAGAACTTTCTAGACGTTTGTTAAATTACTAAAATTTAATTAGTAAAAAAAAAAAAAAAAAAACTACTCACATGGGCGATGTGATCAAATCGTGCAAATAAATCATTTAATATTCGTACTAATTCTTGTGCACTGCAAGTCGATGCGAGAGCAGTAAAACCTTTTATATCGGCAAAAAGTATGCTAACATTTTCATATCTATGTATGTATATTTTATGAAATTGACTCGGTATGAAATCACCTTTTTCTTCTTCTTTGGCTATATCTTTAATCATTTCTTTGGCAACAAAATCTGGCAAAACTAATTTGTAAAAAAAAAATTAATTAATTTTTTATGTTTTAATGAATTTAAGGACAAAAAATTCATTTACGTGTTTTTTTTTTTTTTTACCTGAAAGTAATAATTTTTCTTGCTTGTTATTTTCTTGTTGAGTTTTATATCGCGTTTCCATTGATTTATACGTTTCGATGAATGCTTTCCTTTGACTTCTATCCGTTAAATATTTTGTATACATACCAGCAAAATTAATAGCCCAATAAGTACAAATATTTGCAAGAACTTGAGACAATATACGATTTTCACGTACGGGATTCTTAAAAAAAACAACAAACAAACATAAAAAAATTGTTTTTAATTATATAAAATTACAAATTAATTATTTATTTTGACAGTGAATACTCGGTGACCCTTTTGCATAAAAAAAATAAAAAACATTTTTGTCCTCATTTTTTTTTGTTTTATTAAATTATTATTTTGCTTAAACTTTTTATTAGTCTGCACATGGCACAATCCGTTCGTAATTAAAAATTTTTTTTAATTAAAATTTTATGCAAATCTATAAGGAGATTAACAAAATGAAAAAAATATATAAATTGTTTTTCTTTTTTTATACGTACAACGTAAAGAGCAATCAAAAAAGTATGGAGTAAAGATGTGAAAACTCCAGCAAGTATGCACCATCTCAATTGTAGCGGAAGCATAGCATAGGTAACGAATATTATAAAAAGAACGTACCAAACCAAATAATTGTTTGCTCTTAAACCTAAACCGTTGGCAAGACATCCTTAAAAAAAAAAAAAAAATTATTTAACGATTAAATAAACTTATATATATATTTGCGTATAACTTTAACTTCCCCCTCCCTTCCCCCTTCCCCCCCAAACTGTAAGACCCTTTATATGACTCGTTTAATAAAATCTCATTTATCCTTCTCCCCCCCCCAAAAAAAAAAGGTAATCAAATTTGAATTAAACGATAGATTTAACCTTGGATTTTTTAAAAAAAAAAAACAACGAATTTTTTTTTTTAAAAAAAAAAAAAAAAAATTGGGAGTAAAAATTTTCAATTACGAATAATAATAAAAATAATAATAATAATAATAATAATAAATTAAAGAAACAAAGAAAAAAAAAAAAACGCATTTGATGATTTCGAAATGACTTTATTTATTTTTTTTAAATGTGTTTATTGAATAATAATAATAAAAAAAAAAAAAAAAATACATAAATCAGTAGTATTAAAATAAAATAAATAAATAAATAAATTTTTTTTTTTTTCCCCCGCTAAACTATTTATCAAAAAATGAAAAATGTTAAGATAAAAAAAAAAAAAAAATGTTTTTCCCGTCATTTAGACATATTCTTACCACGCGATAAAAAAAAAAAAAAAAAAAAAAAAAAAAAAGAGTCGACATTTTTTTTTTTCACCGTTTCACACATTCCCCTCCCCCTTCACCCCCTTTAAAAAAATTACAAAAGATATATACAATAAGAAAAAATGAAAGGAAAAACCTGAAAAAACGAACAAAGAAATCGAGAGCAGATAAAAACACGAGAATAAACATATAACAAAGATTTATTATTCATTCGCAATTGTTGTAAATATAATTTTTTAAGCAAACGATAATAATAATAATAATAATAATAATAATAATTTTTTTTCGAATTTTCAAACTCACCTTCGATATTTAAAAGAATCCACGTCAAAAGTGCAGCCCATTGCAAATAATTATTGGCAAAACATCGCCACCATCCTAGAAAGCAAACGATGACATTTGCAAAAAGGGAAAAAATCGTCCAAGTTATGGCTTCTCCAAAATTAAATAAAGGTACCTCTTGTTCCTTAAAATTAGGATAATGAATTAAAAACAGAACTGAAAAGAAAAGCAAAAAATTTCCAATTAATTAATATTTGTACGTACGCACTTTGTGCGTGTGTGCGTGTGCGTTTGTTTCTCACCTAATAAAATTAATTTGATTGCAATATCGACTAAATTAACTAATATCAAAGCGTTTTGCCTTTGCCTGTGCGAATACCTTTGGTACGCCAATTCAAAATGAGATTCTTGAAAATTATTTGATAATGTCGGACAATAAACTCCCTTGTAAATGGGACCTTCGTTCCACATGTTACTTTCTAAAATGGAGAAAAAAGAAAAAAGAAAAAGAAAAGAAGAAAAACGATAGATAGGAAAAAGCCGGGGGGAGGGGGTGAAATTGTCGTTTAGATAAGGCTAAAAAGATAATAAAAAAAAAATATATATATGTTATCTAAGGGATGTAAAAATTGATACGTTGTAAAATTTTTGACGTCGTATTTTTTTTTTACTTTTTTTTTTTTTTTTTTCTTTACTTTAATGTTTTCCGTTTCCGTTTCCGTTTGTTCCTAACAAAAACGTTTGATTTTTTTTTTTTTATTTATTATTAGAGGAGGATGTAGGTAGACATTATTAAATTTTTACCTTCTTCAAACGATAAAGATTCATCGTAATTTTTTTGAATTTGATGACGATTTGATCCATCATCCCCTGCATCCATTTCGATTCCTCCATTGTTTAATTTATTCGTATTGTCATCGAGTAAACTTCCCTCTAGCCTTTGGTTTGTTACTTTTTGAATAGCCCTCGTCCATAATTTTCTCGTTCTTAATTTTTTCGATGGCGTTATCTCGTATCTTTCAATACTTTGATTCGCACTATTTTCGACGGATGTCGTCCTATCATCATCATCATCATCATCCCAATCAAATTTTTTTTCATTTTCTTTTTCCTCTCTATAAATTTTTCCATTTATCGTCCTTTTTTTCCGATTGGATACACTACCACTACCACCCCCACGATCACTACGACCACCACTGCTCCCGTTTGTTAAATATTTAAAAACTCCACGTCGATTATTATTATTATTATTATTACCACCATTATTAATTTTTTTCCCGTTTATATAATCGTTTCGTTCAGAACTAGAACATTCTCCTTCATCATCATCATCATCATCATCATCATCGTTGTCATCGTCATAACGAGCGATACCATTTTTTAATTCTCTTCTTCTATTCACACATTTAGATCGTTTTTTTCCGGCCTGAGAACCTAACATATTATTTATACGAGTTTTCCCGACTTTTCTTTTCTTTTTTTTTTTTTTTTTTGGCTGCCTTCGATTTTTTATTATATATATATTTACGTTCGCAAAAAAAATTAATTAGAAAATCATTCTCACGTCAGTCTTGCAGAATTTTTTTTTTTTTTTATTTTTAAATTGTTTTTTTTGGCTCTAAAGAAATAAACGAGCATGAAGCCCGATTCTAAAATCATAAAAATATAAATTGATATGTAACGAATCAACATAATCGTTAATAAAATATGTTTTTCATAAAATTATAATCACAATCAAAAAATGTTAAAAAAAAAATAACCGACGACATTTTTATTAAAAAGGAAATTGACACAAACTCTTTGCCCTTAATAAAAATCCAACAACAACAAAGTGTCAATTTATACCTACATGCGTAATAAATCGTACACGATTCAATTATTATTATTATTAATATTATTATTAATATTATTATTAATATTATTTATTTACGTTTACATGGGCCGAAATTAACTACCCGAATCAAAACTATTTAACATAAAACGTCACACACACGCACGCACGCACGCACACCTCTTAACTAATAATATTACGAAATGAATAATTAAACCGGAAAATATTTATGAAAATACTTTTCTTTTTTTTTTCTCTCACTAAAAAAAAAAAAAAACGTAACAGGCGTGATAATAATAATAATAATAATAATAATAATTAGTAATAATTAGTGATATTTTTCTCTTTTCCTTCTTCTTCTTTCTAATAAATTTCTCATTTTTTTTTTTTATTAAAAAAAAAAAACACAATTTATTTTAACAAGTTTGTCAAAAAGAAAATATTTTAATAATAATAATAATAATAATAATAATAATAATAATAATAATAATAATAATAATAAAATCAATAAAACCAATTTTAATAACTCACACGATACAATCATTTTCATTTATGTTTAGTTAACCTATTTTTATTATTGTTTAATTTTAATGTCAACGTTCAACTTGAATCGATTTTTAATATAATAATAATTATTATTATTCTTTTAAAAAAATTAATAATTATGTAAAATGTAAATAATATTATTACTATTATTATTATTTTTAAAAATAAAATATATATATATCGATTATGTATTATAATTGAGTGTCTGTCCACTTACAAAATTTTCCAGTTGACCATGGTTTTATTTATTACAACCGGCATTCTAGATTTTTCTCTTTAACAAAAAAATTCACAATTCGTTTCGTTTTCTATTCATAAAAAAAAAAAAAAATTCTTTTTTTTAATCCCGATGTTTGTTTTTTTGTTTGTTTGTTTGTTTTCTTACTCGTAAAAAAAAAACACTAAATTGATTTTTTTTTTTTTTTTCGTTAAAAATATGTAAATAATTTACCATTTACTCATTTAAAAAAAATTAAATCTTATTAATTTATTTATTATAATAACACGCTTTACAAATTTATATATATAAATAATCATAAACGTTTATATATATATTATTTCCTTAATTTTATAAATAAAAAAACCTCACCGCTCGCGGGTATTTTTAAAAATAAGAAAAAATAAAAAAAAAATTTTTTTTTTTTTTTTTTTAATAAACTCACCTTCAAAATTGTTTGTCATGTCATTCTTTGAAAAATTATTATTATTATTATTATTATTAGTATTAAATTTATTTTAAATTATTTATATTATTTTAAAATAATAATAACACCGTAAATAAATTAAACGCTAACATTCCTATAAAAAGTTTTTATTTATTTATTTATTTATATAAAAATTAACGTTAAATAAAAAAAAAAAAAAATTTCAAGTTAGCGAAACGACCTACTGCCACCTCTCATCGACTGAATGGGAATTTCAAGGTACAAGGTACACTTTGAGTAAAATTACCATATAAAAAAACTAATAAAACTATAAGGTATATATTAATATGTTTATTCATTTAATATTTTATTTTATTATTTATAAAACAATTTTAACAGGTTCAGCCAGGATTTTTTTTTAATTTGTGTTGTTGTTGTTGTTGTTGTGTGGTTGTTGTAGTTGTTGTTGTTGTTGTTTGTTGTTGTTGGTGTTGTTGATGTGTAATATTAAATAAATGATAGATACATTAAGGAAAGAATTATAATATCAAATTAACCGATCGATCGATCGATCGATCGACTACCACCACCATTCGATTTTTACTTAAACACTAATGATGATGATGATGATGATGATGACACATAAACTAACTCATCTAATGATTATAAAAAAATATTTTTAGCAAGTGAATAAC